GATGGGCCTAGGACAATTGCAAGGCAACTTGGAACAGTTGCAAACAGTGTTGCAGCAACGGGACGACGAGTTGGAGCAGTTGCGGCGCGCACTGGTTGACGAAAAGACGCTGAAGGAGCGCACCTCAGCGCTAGAGAGTCAAATTATACCAGACTCATTAGCGAACTTACAGTTGGATGGCGTGCCGAATCCAGTGCCCACACTGGATATGTTCTTCGGTGGTGTTGGCGGCGCTGGAACTGATTTCGAGACTCTAATCATACCACCCGTATCTAACGAGCCTGTAGTAGAAGCGCCAATTATGCCCGAAAAAGCGTATATTTGTCAACCACAAGGCGAGCAGACTGTACACCGGGAAGCAAAAACGCCTGCATTTGATCTGGATGCCGATTGGGGTGACGCGTGGGGTGCGCAAGAAGCTGCTGCTGAAGCGGAACACTTCTCCAAGACAACGGCTGCCAGTTTAGGCGCAGCTGTGTCTTTAGTGCCGCGCGAACAACAACTGGAACTACAATTGGCCGAGCAGGCGGAGCGCATTGCTGAACTGCAGTTATCGGTCGAGCGTTGCGAGCAACAAAAGCAAGAGTTACAGGTGAAATCCGGCAAGCTAATGAAGAAACTCAAGGAGTATAAGACAAAGATCGATGAGTTGCAGAGCAGCGCGACAAATGCGTCAGCTTCATTCTTCGACTTGGACGCTGCCATACAGGATGAACTCAAGGCGCAAATTAAGCAATTAGAGGAGCGCTTGGAGGAAGAGCGCAAACAGCATGAATTGCATGGGGTTGAGAAAGAGAAATTGCTAAAGCGCATCGATGTACTGACGGCTGGCAGCGAACGCATGGCCGAAATGAAGGAGCGCCAAGATATGGAAGTGCAAATGTATCAGGCGAGAATACAGGAACTGCAGGCGAAGGTGAATAGGTTGGAAGATTGGGGACCAGATGCGGAGCCAAGTGCAGGAGCAGCAGAAGAAGCAACGTCGCAGCAACAGGCAGAAGCACTGTCGACTGCAAGTGTTGGTGAGTCATTTAAAACAGAATTTGTATCTTATATTTTGCTAAATATTTTTTCCAATCAAATAGCCAACAACATTCAGGTCCAGCTCTCGGCGCTTCCACCCAGCTGGGAAACAGAGAGGCAACAGCTCAACCAAACTATCGCTGAACTTACTGCAGAAATACAAGACATCAATGTGGACCGTCAAGAACTGCAAGCGCTACTGGAAGATGAAAAAGCGAATGCACTGCGCGCAGAGGCAGCTAAGAAGGTACTACAGCAGCAGCTATCCGCTCGCGATAGCGAATCAGTGGCAAATGCAAGCGCAGAGAAGACGAAATACAACGACCTTAAGGCGGAGCATCAGCAGTTGCAAGAAAAGTATAACACTTTGCATGCAGCCTACGAAGAGCAAACTGGGGAGTTGAATCGCTTGAAGGTGCGCGAAGAGCAACTCAGTGCTGCCTTACAGGAGGCAGAGCGCAACTTGGCATTGAGCCAAGCGTCGAGTGCACGAGAGGAACAACTGAAAGCAGAGCTGTCTAAGACCGAAAGCAATTTATCACAGGCAAATGCTGCGCTGACACGGCTTGAAGCCGATCTCGATGCAGTTCAGACGCAGCTGCTGGAATTACAAACGAGAAACGCCGAGCTATTGCAAGCAAACGAAGAGCTGCAAAATGCTAACGCAGCGACGGCTGTCACAGTAAATGCAGAACTCCTCAGCAATGAGAATGCTCAACTGCATGCACAAAACGAAGCCTTAGAGCAGCGCGTTAAACAGCTCGAGGAAGTTGCTGCGCACCAAGCGTTGAACTCAGCCCCAACAACTAGCTTCAACACAGCGCCAGCCAGCAGCGTCAACGTTGATGAACTCAATGCGCAATTACAAGAGAAGGAATCCGAAATAATGCATTTAAAGCAGCGCATTGAAGACTTGATGCGCGAAGACCAAACCGAGAAGCTTGTGCTGGAGATATTAACAAAGAACCAGGAGATACACATGCTGAAGATGCAAGTGAAAAATCTGGAGGATGACAAGCAAGAGCTGGCGCACAACCTCTCCGTGCAGATTACAAGCGAGATGCAAGCTGGCAAAGGTGACGTCGATAGCGAGAATACGAAGTTGCGCGAGCAAATACAGCAACTGGAACTGCAGCTGGTAGCACTGCAGAGCGAAAAGCGCGACATGGAGGAGGAACTAAAGGTGCTGAACAACCACGTGCTGAGCAGTCTAGAGAACGAGGACAAGCTTAAAGCGGCGGCATTGCAACTGGATACGCAAAACATTGAAATTGCCGAACTGCGACGCACAATCGAAGCACTCAGGGCTAACGGCAGCCCTCCGGTGGCTGAAGATGGCACACAGCCAGTGGACTACGCCGCTTTGAATGCCCAGTGGGAGGCGATTGTCGACCAGAAATGTGGTGAAATCGCTAAGATGTGGCGTGATCATTTAGAGCAACGCGAGGCCGAATTCAAATTGGCCGAGTCGCGCTTGCGCGAGGAGTTGGCCGCCCAGCGTCAAGCGCAGTCGCACGACCAAGGTACGCAACATGTCGTTTCCGCTGAAACTACGGCCACATCAACCCCCGGCTCGGTATCAACGACGCAGTCGGGCACCTCGTCGGGCGCCGCCTCCAAGGATGGTACACCATTGCGTCACCGCATCATCAACGAGGAGCACGAAGCCGATGCTGATGCCATCATTGAGAAGATGCAAGCGGCGCTGGAAAGCCAGGAAATGGAGATTGTCACTCTGAAGGAACAGTTGGCAATACGCTCAGCAGAATATGCGCGCTTGGCGGCGCAATACGATCCATTCAAATTACAGAACACTTCGTCCCACAGCGGCATTAGCGGTGGCGCAACAGGTGAGCAGCGCAGAGGCGCGGCGGTAAGTGGTAATGATGCCTCGCTCGTGCCGAAATCGGAACTAGATTTCGCGTTATATATGCTGCATCAACGCGACATGCGTTGCGAGGAAATGACGTTGGAATTGGTATCGTTGCTGGAGGAGCGCGACACCTTGCAGCTGAAACTGTCGAATACGCTGCGGCAGGTGGAAGCCCACAAAACGGCTACAAATTACGTAGAACGTAAGTTACACAAATGTTGGGCGCCGTCATGTCGATATCTAATAATCTTATTAAATTTAACAGCTTCTAATACGTCAACAGACAGCGCTGCGCTTGCGTCACCAACGACGGCGCCTGCCAGCCAGACGCAGCGTACAGTGGTTAGCCCAACTGCTGCTGGTTGTGACTCAGCCGATGAATTGAGCCAAAAGTAAGCGGATTATCATAAGGCGCTATGAGCTAGCTAACTTAAATAATAATTAATTCTAACATTATTATCTCATTTAGATTGTCTCAGCTGCAAACTGTCAATCATTCCAAGGACAAGGTGATTAAAGAGGAACGCGATCAACGCATACGACAAATGGAAAAGATACAACAGGATGTGGCCAAAATGCCGCCTGCTGCTGTCTCTGAATTAGTTGGCACGGACGCAGGTAGTTGAAATTCAATTTTAATCACATTTGTTATTAATTTTTATTTTCTATTTATTTTTATTTTTCAGCTCAAACTGGCCAATCACCATCATCTGTGCTACTAAACTGGCTGTGGGGCAATAAGCCAGATGCTGGCAATTCAGCGCCACATTAAAGCAATAAATCTACAACAACAATATCGACAATATACGAACCTAAGCGAACCAACACTGCTATGAATTCGTTTTATTCATTTTAAGCTGATTTGGTTCAAAATGTCAATGCGATATTCAGGTGTCTACCCTTATGCACCTATACACATACGTACATATGTGCATCAATATTTATGTACCCCCAATATTTTTGCAACAACAATGATGAATTGAAATTTAATTAATGTACCTTACTTTGTTCTAAATACTAAAAATTTATTTACCAAACTGTTATAAGCGATTGTAAATAACACAGATAAACAGATGTAATGCAGTTCTCGTTTTTTAATTTTTTTTATGTATGTATGTATGTATGCAATTGCTTAATTCGAAAAACGAGTATCTATACGAAACATTCATTCTTTAGCCTAAAACTTATGCGTATGTAGTAGTAAAGACAAAGAAATTTATGCTGTATTTAGAAAGTTATTGGAACTATATTGAATGATCATGAAGAAATATACAGAAATTGTTAGTAACTACTTGCTTTTGTTTATTCAAGTGTCTCGTTTTTATTGACTAAATAGTGGCCTGAAACATTAAGGCGGTGCTAATGTTTAAATTGTTTCTTATTAGCTGAAGCTAATTTTGAATTTATTGAACGTGATGGTTGTTCTTCTGGGTACACAGTCAAGACTCATTTCACGACATGTAACAGTCCGACTATCCGGAAACCGGAGGGTGTGAAATGTTCCTGCACTCTGGGCAATGTGAGCAACCCATGCGCGATATGCGTTAACCCAACCCATGGGCGGGTATTTAGTCCAACCTCGAACAGGAATCTATTTCTGCTGCGTTTGGCAGAAGACGGACGGAAAATCTTACGAAAGAAAATTACGCGATACGTCAGTCGTATAAGCTGAATGGGATAAAGAGTGCATTAACGTACGTCATAATCCGAAAAATGTGTTAATCAGCCTCATTGCGTAAGTCGTAAATTAGGCTGAATTGTACGACTCGACAACATTAGCATTGTCTACTGTCGTGCTGAAATAAGTAAACGACGAAAATTGTCGAAAACTATGCAGTGCTGCCAAGTTCTTCCGTTTTAATACACTAGTCGAGTGGAAATTTTAGGCAATGACGCTAAATTTTCGATACGATTCGACTCTCGAAAAACGACTTGCATTCGGCACGACTCTCGCAATGAGGCTGAATGTTACGGGACGAGTAATACGATATCGGATATGACGATTCGAGCACTACTCAGGCACATAGAGAGTGGACCACAAATTGTTTAGCTCCCTACATGACACCACCACCTCCACATGCCCACTCAAGCCAGCTAACACAACTTTCCCTCTGTTCCAACCCCGTCTGAACAGGACGTTTCCTGAGCTTGCCGTTAGCTGAGCTTGGCGACACTGATTGATGGACAAATCCACCTAGGCGGGAGGAAGCGTCCCATTTTACATATAAATTCAACTATTCGTTGTCCTCGAATAAAAAAAGGCACACATCACCGCAGCATGTGCAGCGTGCGACGTCTCCTACAGCGGCCATAAAACTGTGCAAAACTTGTGGTGTTAGATGTGGTTGTGCGGGGAGTCAGACATCTTGTCTCCGAGTTGACTTCATCATGGAACGAATTGTCACAATTCGTGTCAAAAATAAGTTCAGCAACATCAGCCTCATGTGAGCGCACGCCCCGAAGGAGGAAAAGGACCTTACAACTAAAGAGCGTTTCAATGAGTGCCTAGAAGAAGCGAACGTATGATATCCCCACCAGGATGTTAAAATTGTGCTTGGCTACTTTAACGCAACGGTGGGCAAAGAAGGCATAATTGGTCGCACTGTCGGAAACTACAGCCTACATGACAATACCTCAACTTCGACGCGGCACGAAAAATGATAGCTGGAAGTACATATCGGACACCAGCTTCATAGTAACCACAGAAGCGGTCTTGAAACTATTTCACTGCTGCTTTATTTTCTCCAAAAAATTTTGACCCACATTCCTGTTAGCCAACATAACAACGCTTCTTCACTCGGCCAAGGCAGCTTTACAATAATCAGGCTCTTGGATACGACGGCGTACCGGCTGAGCTGTTCAGATTCGGCTTTGAAGAGCTGAAAGAGTGCATGTACGAGCTGTTAAGCTCAAGTTGCCCAACAATTCGAATATTTTCGTTAATATACAAGAAGGGAGATCCTACAGTTTTCGACAATTACCGCAAAATAAGCCTCCTTAACAGTGCGTATAAGATCCTATCGAGGAGCTGTGTGAAAGACTGAATCGCTTTATGGACAAACAGACTTGACAAATTCACCAGGTACCAATGGTTGGACCAGGAAAGCATGGGCGGGCACGAGCGCAAGACCAGGAGCAGAAGAGGGGCTATCTGCACTCCGAATGAACCACTGATGTAACTTCGCAAAGGAGGGAGGCAATCTGCGAAGTTTTCTAGTCTCGGACCAAACCAACAAACAGTTGTAGCGCAAAACATGCAGAGGAAGAAGAATATGTATCCAGGTTATGTCGAAGATTTATTTGACTTTGGACAACACCTAGAGCGAATTGAAAATGAAATGGTGAGCGGAGAGTGAGGGCGAGACAACAGACGAAGTTTTGTTGAACCTAGTCCAAACCGAATAAAAGCTATGGAGTCAAAAAACATTTGCGCATTCATAGGGTTTTACCCAAAACCCCTTCATATTTTCCAAGCCAGATTTTTTGTCTTGTAAAACATATCGACGGCTGAGTGGAAGATCAACCTATCTCGGCAGCAGGTTCGAAAACGACCTACTTATCTGAAAAAAATTTTTAAGAACGCTATTTAAAAATTTTATTGAAAAATGCTCTATCACAAATGAAAATATGTTGAGATAGGGCGTTTTGAAACCGAGTTCTTAGATAGGGCGTTTTTGATAAGTTTTCTGAGATAGGGAGTTTTCGAACTGGTTGCCGAGATAGGTCGAACTTCTACTCAGGCGTCGATATACAATGCAATTTCGGTTTAATTAAAATTTAGGCTAATATAATCTTCATAGGAATTATTTTTAAAATTGTGACTGGTACTGGGGTAAGAAGTAACAGTTTCCAAAGGCAAAAATTACAGTATTTTTCAACAGATTAATGAAATGATTACTACTCGAGTAGGGATAATTAAGACAATTTAAAATTTGTGGACTTTTCCTCTTTTACATGGAATGTGGACCTCTAAGATTTTTCCCGGTTCTGGTAAAAATACGCATTTAACCTCCTACCGTAAGAATAAAATTTAAATAACAAATTATTTGATACTGACTGAAACTTTGAACTAATGTAAAAAGTCCTGACTAGCGGTTAAAAACTCAAAAGCTCTGGAAAAGCTTCTTTTTTTTTGCGTGTGGCGAAACAACTAATTTTGTTGCAGTGTAACGATGTAATATAAACATTCGGACTCATTTTAGAGTCAGAAAAGTCTCAGAATTCTGAGTTGTAACTCTCATTATGAGCTCAAAAAAGAGTCAGAAAATAATATATTTTCCTTTTTAGAAGGGCAACCAAATATGGTTCCAAGTTAGGAGTCATATAAGAGTCTGAAATATGACGATTTGTGAGTATTAAAAAAATAGGTTATTTATAATTCTATATTCTTTATAATGATTATTAAAAACTTTTACCTCTACGTGAACTTCGTTACTTTTGTTCTACTCAGAATTTATGACACCAAAAGAGCCCGAAATGAGTCAGTCTGGTTGACTGGTGTCAGAATCATATTTGTGACGAAACAAAGACTAATTTTGACTCTTAAATTCTGAGCACTCAGAGAATTATTTAAAGGGAGGTTAAGTGATTTATTTATTTATTTATAATAAAGCTTAAGTGATACCGGCATTCCCAGTATCGAAATCCAACGCAGAATCACGGTTGCCAACAAGGCTCTTGGAGTTTTCGAGAGAAAGATTCTGCGAAATATTTACGGACCTTTACGCATTGGTGATGGCGAATATCGCCGACGATTTAACGATGAGCTGTATGAGCTTTACAACAACATGGACATAATGCAGCGAATCGAAACAGAGGTTCCGCTGGTTTTGCCATGTCGTTCGCGAATGGACACCGACGCTCTAGCTCAGAAAGTATTCAACTCGGAACCCGCTGGTGGTAGCAGAGGAAGGTGAAGGCCCCCACTGGGATGGAAATACCAAATGGAGAAGGGCTTGGTTTCACTTGGCATTTCCATTTGGTGTTAGTGGCCGCAGACGAAAAGCGAATGGCGCACAGTGTTTCGCCTCCATACAGTGAATTGGCAAAATTAGGGGAGCTATTGTAGAAAAATGAAATTTGGTGTGCTGGTTGAGAATATGAAAATTAAGAAAAAATCTACGTTTTGGCAAAATCGGTGCAAGGACATGACTATCTCCCATACATCCTTAATTTTTAAAGTTCAATTTTAGCAATAATTATTAACAAAATATAGCGAAAATTGGTAGCTGTCTGTGAAATTATGTTTTTAAGCTCTGTGGAAAATTTCGTTTTGTCCGGTGCAAGGCTGTTGTCATGTCCCAAATATCATTTCTCTCAAAAACTAGATATTAGCTACATTTGTGATCAGAATGTCTTAAAAACTAATAATAATTTGTAAATTTAAACTTTTTATTTTATTTATAGAATTTTAGTTATTGAAAAAAAATTGCAGAATTTAATATTTTCTTTAAAAGGTCATACATAAAAATTTTTCGAAATTTGCTCAATATATAAGAGATCAAATGTAATCTATAATATTGTCTTTTAAAATGTATGTATGTATATCTCAATTTCTTCAAATTCATATTTTTTTTGTAGACCTAAGTGATGATAGTTCCGGATCCGACATTAATAACAAATGAGCCATTAAATCTCTCGTCCGTTTTCTTGTATGGGAAAATGGCATATTTCTTATATTTTTATGACTGCCTTCTAAGGCTTCTTCGGACAAACACAATAGAATAAAATAATAATCAATTATAAAATTTCTTAAAATGTTTTTTTTTTTTAATTTCTTATAACCTATTGGCAAGTTTAA